ACGTGTGTCTCCCTAAACAGTGTGTTGTTTTCTCTTGTATGTTTTTGAGCTTCATAAAAAATTCTATATAGTTTGTAGTCTTTTTAAAAGTGCAAAAATTATTTCATTAGCAATTCTAATTCAACATCTCTTCCCAAAGCAACATAACACTTTTATCCAGAATTTAAACAAGAATTATTCTCTATGGCTAACAAAATTTTTAACACATTTAGAAGTTCTAAAAAGTAGTAGAAGACAGTGTAGAAAAAATTAACCAATCAGAAAACCAAAAGGAAAAAACAATTAAAAAACAGGAAGATAGCTTAAGAGAACTGTGGGACAACTGGAAACGTAATAACACTTGAATCATAGGAGTCCCCGAAGAGGAAGAAAATGGGCTAGTGTTAGAGAATATATTTGAAGAAATAGTGACAGAAAACTTCCCTAACTTGGTGAAGGAAGAAGGCATTCAAATTTAAGAAGCACAGAGAGCCCCAAGTAAGAAGAACCCAAACAGGCCCACACCAAGACACATAATAATTAAAATGCCAAAAATTAAAGACAAAGAGAGAATCCTAAAGGCAGCAAGAGATAAGCAACAGTTTACCTACAAAGGAACCCACCATAAGGCTATCAGCTGACTTCTCAACAGAAACACTACAGGCCAGAAGGGAGTGGCATGAAGTAGTCAAGGTCATGAAAAACAAAGATCTGAATCCAAGAATACTCTATCCAGCAAGGCTATCATTAAAAATAGAAAGTGAAATAAAGAGCTTTCCAGACAAAAAAAGGCTAAGGGAATACACTAGCACCAAACCAGCAATGCAGGATATGCTAAAAGGACTGCTGTAATTAGTAGAATAAATAGGAAGAAAAATAGAACCACACTAAACAAAAATGGCAATGAATAAGTACATATTAATTATCACCTTAAATGTAAATGGATTGAATGCTCCAAAAAAAAGAGACAGAGTAGCTGATTGGATAAGAAAACACGACTCATCTATATGTTGTTTACAAGAGACCCACCACACAACAAAAGACTCACATAGGTTGAAAGTGAAGGGATGGAAAAAAAAAACAGAAAGAAAAAAAAGCTGGGGTAGCAATACTCATAACTGATAAAGTAGATTTCAAAATGAACGCCATAACTAGAGACAAAGAAGGCCACTACATAATATTGAAAGGATCTATCCAATAGGAAGATATAACCTTGGTAAACATATATGCACCCAATATAGGAGTACCAACATATATTAAAAATCTTCTGGAGGATGTCAAAGGAGAAATCAACAGCAATATAATCATAGCAGGGGACTTCAACACCCTGCTCACATCACTGGATAGATCATCTAGACAAAAAATTAACAAGGAAACACAGACTCTAAATGAAGCACTAGATCAAATGAGTTTCATAGATATCTACAGAGAACTACACCCCAAAACTGCAGAATTCACATTCTTCTCAAGTGCACATGGGACATTCTCAAAGATAGACCACATGTTAGGGCACAACCTAAGTCCCTACAAGTTCAAGAAGATTGAAATCATATCAAGTATCTTCTCAGATCACAATGGCATGAAACTAGAAATCAATTGCAACAAGAACATGCAAAGCATTTGAAAACATGGAGGCTAAATAGCATGTTATTGAACAATGAATGGGTTACCATGAAGATCGAGGAAGAAATTAAAAACTTCCTGGAAACCATTGAAAATGAACACACAACAACACAAAATCTATGGGATGCAGCGAATGCAGTTCTGAGAGGGAAGTTCATAGTACTACAGGCCTACCTCGAGAAACAAGAAAAATTTCTAATAGACTATCTAACCTCACAACTTAAAGAACTAGAAAGCAAACAAAAAGAAAACCTCAGAGCAAATAGAAGGAAGGAAACAGTAAAGATCAGAGCAGAAATAAATGACATGGAGACCAAAAAAACAATTTGAAGGATCAATGAAACAAAGAGCTGGTTCTTCAAAAAGATAAACAAGATTGATAGACCCTTAGCTAGACTCACCAAGAAACAAAGAGAGAGAACCCAAATACACAAAATCAGAAATGAAAGAGGAGAAATAATAATGGACACCACAGAAATACAAAGGATTGTGAACAAATATTATGAACAACTATATGGCAACAAATTTGACAATGTAAGCGAAACGGACAAATTTCTAGAAACACAGTGTCTCCCAAAACTGAACTGGGAAGAGATAGAAAACGTGAACAGACGTATAACAACAAAAGAAATTGAAGATGTAATCAAGACTCTCCCAGCAAACAAAAGCCCAGGCCTGGATGGTTTCACGGGGGAATTTTACCAAACATTCAAAGAAGAACTGATACCATTCTCCTCAAACTATTTCAAAAAATTCAAGAAGAAGGAAGACTTCCAAACTCGTTTTATGAGTCCAGCATAATTCTAATTTCAAAACCAGAAAAAGACACTACAAAAAAAGAAAACTACAGGCCAATATCCCTGATGAACATAGATGCCAAAATCCTGAACAAAATACTAGCAAATCGAGTCCAGCAATACATCAAAAAAATTATTCACCACGACCAAGTGGGATTCATCCCAGGGATGCAAGGCTGGTACAATATTCACAAGTGAACAAATGTGATACACCACATAAACAAAATGAAAGATAAAAATCATATGATCATATCAATAGACGCTGCAAAAGCATTCAACAAAATCCAGCACCAATATCTGATAAAAACACTCAGCAATTTGGGAATAGAGGGATCATATCTCGACATAATAAAGGCCATATATGAAAGACCTACAAGCCAACATCATACTCAATGTGCAAAAACTAAAAGCATTTACCTTAAGAACAGGAACAAGACAAGGATGCCCACTTTTGCCACTTTTATTTAACATAGTACTGCAAGTCTTAGTCACAGCAATCAGATATGAAGAAAAAATAAAAGGGATCCATATTGAAAAGGAGAAAGTGAAACTGTCATTATTTGCAGACGACATGATATTATACATAGAAAACCTCAAAGACTCCATCAAAAATGTATTAGACTTAATAAATTTGGCAAAGTAGCAGGATATAAAATTAACATCAAGAAATCGACAACATTCTTATACACCAATAATGAACTCACAGAAAGAGAAACTGACAAAACAATCCCATTTACCATCGCGGCAAAAAAAATTAAGATACTGAGGAATATACTTAACCAAAGAAATAAAGGACCTATTCACAGAAAACTACAGGACATTGAAAAAAGAAATAGAGGAAGATATAAAAAAGTGGAAGCACATACCTTCTTCATGGATTGGAATAATTAACATAATTAAAATCTCCATGCTACCCAAAGCAATCTATAGATTCAAAGCAATCCCCATCAAAATACCGATGACATACTTCACAGAACTAGAACAAATATTTCAAAAGTTCATATGGAACCAAAAAAGACCCCGAATAGCCACAGCAATTTTGAAAAAGAAGAACAAAGTTGGAGGGATCACATTATCAGATTTTAGGTTATACTACAAAGCCACTATAATCAAAACAGCCTGGTACTGGCACAAAAACAAGCAGATAGATCAATAGAACAAAATAGAGAACCCAGAAATGGACCCAGGACAATGTGCTCAATTAATATTTGACAAAGGTAGCAAGAGCATACAGTGGAGTAAAGACAGCCTCTTTAATAAATGGTGTTGGGAAAATTGGACAGCTACATGCAAAAAAAAAAAAAAAAGAAACTAGACCATCAACTTACACCCTACATAAGAATAAACTGAAAATAGATAAAAGACTTAAATGTGACTCATGAATCCATAAAAATCCTAGAAGAAAATGTAGGCAACAAAATTTCAGACATCATACACAGCAGAATTTTCAGATACATCACCTAAGGCAACAGAAACAAAGGAGAAAATGAACACATGGGACTACATCAAACTCAAAAGCTTCTGCACAGCAAAAGAAACAACCACCAAAATGGAAAGGCAACCCACTCTATGGGAGAGCATCTTTGCCAATGATACATCAGATAAGGGGTTAATTTCCAAAATATATAGAGTGTTCATACAACTCAACAAAAGGAAGACAAAGAACCCAATTAAAAAATGGGCAGAGTAACTGAATAGCCACCTTTCCAAACAGTACATACAAATGGCTAAGAGACATATGAAGAAATGCTCAGCATCACTAATCATCAGAGAGATGCAAATTAAAACAACAATGAGGTAACACCTCACACCTGTCAGAATGGCCGCCATCAGCAAATCATCAAGTGTTGGAGAGGGTGTAGAGAAAAGGGGACTCTAGTACGCTGCTGGTGGGAATGCAGATTGGTGCAGCCACTATGGAAAACAATATGGTGTTATCTCAAAAAATTAAAAATTGAACTGCTATTTGACCTAGTGATACCACTTCTAGGAATATACCCTAAGAAGCCTGAAACACCAATCAGAAAGAATATATGTACCCCCATGTTCGTAGCAGCACTATAGCTAAGATCTGGAAACAGCCCAAATGTCTATCAGTAGACGAATGGATAAAAAAGCTGTGGTACATATACACAATGGAGTACTATGCAGCTATAAGAAAGAAAGATCTCTCATCCTTTGAGATGACATGGAGGGACCTGGAAAGTATAATCCTAAGCAAAACAAGCCAAACAGAAAAAGACAAGTATCATATGATATCACTTGTTTGTGGAATATAATGAACATAACAGTCTGAGTAACGAGGTAGTCCCAGAAGAGGAGGTGGTGAGGGAGAGATAAACCACAGAACTTATATGTATGTATGCATGAACAATGGACATGAGCAACAAAGCTGGGGACAGGGTAGGAGGGAGAGGGAGGAGGGTATCAGTGGGGGAAAAAAGAGAAACATCTGTAACAAAAATAAATTAATTAATTAATTAAAAAAAGAAGTTATAAAAAGTGGGCAAATGCATGAATTAAAATGAGAACATGTCTTCATAAAGGAAATTTCTTTGCATATCTATGCAAGTGACAAGGATTTAAACCATAACCTATTACCTCGATGATATAGAGGACGATATTCTTGTAGAAGCAGTACAAAATGCACTTGGAGACTCTGTTGTAGTTCCAGGCACCATGAACCATCAATAAATTCTTCAAATACTTGAACTAAAATAAGAGTAGAAAAAAATGAGTATTTCCTTTCCACAGAGTCAGCTGGCTGAGCTGAACGTGTGTGCTGATGCTTCACCTGTGCTATGGAGTAGTCAGAAGAATTGGCTGCCTGCAGGCCTTCGTTTCCGCTTATTCCGACGCCGACGTGCGCCGTCTGGATCATGCTGACGTCATTCGCTCCATCACCGATCGCGAGTGTTATGACTTTCACTTGTTTCTTAACCATCTCAACGACTTCAGATTTTTGAAGAGGAGAAACCCTTAAATGAGAACAAATGATCAATTAGCTCTGTTTTCTGAAAAAGAGAGAAGGAATTTTGAAATGTCTACTGTCTTGAAGGATGAAAGGAGCCGAGGAGTCAAGTGAACACGTGGTTCTAGGAAGAACCATTGTGGAAAAGCTGCAGGTTTGCAGACGTGTGGCTCTGTTAACCTACTTGCCACTTCAAGGGAAAAAATAAAACTGAGGTCTCAGAAACAAACCTCTAGGAGACAAACAGAAGCTATACATCTTGTTAAGCACTAGTTTACCAGTACTAGTTTATACAAACTTGTTAAAGAAATGATACTTAAGTTCAAAAATTCCATTTCTTCCTAACAAATAACATCAGCATTTCTAACTTTTCACTTTTGAATGGAAAAAGTCAGACAGACTATTGAACAGTAGTCCAAATACTTACTAAAGCCTATACCATTTCTTGAAAATAAAAGTTTTGAGCCACTGAGAACTGATCTTAGACAATGTAATACATATTTAAGACTTGAAACTCTACTGACGTTAACAGCAGAGAATTGGCTAACCTCTTGACCTGTTTGTTCTCAGACACCATGGTGAGTCAAACAAAGTAAATACCAAGAGCTTGGTTACGTAGTTCATGTGCCTCAACTTTCTTCCAGAACTACTGACAACTGGCCAAGCAGAACCAAGCAGCCTTCTGTTCAAACACGGATCGGGGACAGAGAACAGCAGCGCCCAACTAAAATCACTTTTGGGTATTAACTTTGGATCAACATCATAGACTTTAAAAAGCCACTTAAGAAGCAGCCCTGGCTGGTTTGGCTCAGTGGTTAGAGCGTCAGCCTGTGGTCCAGGGAGACCCAGGTTCGGTTCCCGCTAGGGGCGCGTACCTCGGTTGCAGTTTGTCCCCAGCCCTGGCTGGTTGTGTGGATGGCAGCCACTCGATGTGTCCCTTTCACGTCGATGTTTCTCTCTCTCTCTCTCTCTCCCCTCCTTCCCTCTCTCTCTCCCCCCCCCCTCCCTCCCACTATCTGAAAGAAAGATGGAAAAATGTCCTCGGGTAAGGATAAAAAAACAAAAGAAAATGAAGCAAACTCCACAACGATGACAGGAGGGTTCAAAGACAGACTGTGTTAGTGTAATTAACTTTATATATTACGCATACTGTCTTGGTGATTAAGGCAAAAGAAAGGAAGTCTAAACAGTGAACGGGTCCAGTAAACAGATAGTGATTAAATATGAAGAAACAACTATCCACGATGTTAATGGATAAGAAAAATAGCTCAGAGCTAAATTCTTGATCAAGGTTAAGTGGACTAGGTGTCTCATGATAGCTGCTGAAACATCTGGTAAGTCATTTATTATTCCTATTTAAAAGTGAATTTCATTACTCTGAAAGATGCAACATCTTGCATGTTTTCCTGATTATTTCTTTATTTTATTTTATTTTATTTTATTTTTTTCCTTTATTGATTTTAGAGAGAGGGGAAGTGAGAGGGAGAGAGAGAGAGAGAAACATTGATGAGAGAGAACACAGAATGGCCGCCTCCTGCATGTCCCTCAATGGGGATCTGGCCCACAACCTGGGCATGTGCCCTGACCAGGAATTGAACCGGCGACCTCTTGGTGCATGGGTCGACGCTCAACCACTGAGCCATACTGGCCAAACTCCTGATTATTTCTTTAGGAAGCATTCCTAGCAGCAGATATTTGGCACAAATATATACTTTCAGGAGGCCCTATCACCCTTCAGGAAGGCTTCATTCAGCCAGAGCTGCTCGAGGTTTTATTTCAAGTGTGAGAATCATTGCATTAGGTGCTGAGCTGCTTGCAGAGTTAACCAGTCTCCTCATCTTTGTACACACGCACTCCTATTGCTGACCCAAAGTAGTACTCAGTAAAAGGTTGCTGAGACTTATTTTTAACTCTTTGAATTTCCTTTGAGAGTCTAGCAATTGTACAAAATGATGCAACTGTGAACACAGGGAACAGATGAGTCTCAGGCCATTAATGGGCTTTTGCACTGTTAGCTCCCTTTTTTCTTTGAAGCAATTTTGATATCATTTTCTAATTTTAGTTATTTTTTTTAACAGGTTAATATAAACTTGTAAGCCCACTAGCTCTAGGCCAATGTTTTAGATGTGGCTGACATTGAGCAAATGTCAAAAAAGAATGATTACCAAGAAATGGACTAAAAAGCAAATGGGAAATAGGCACAAAAAGAGAGAAACATTTAAAAACATTCACCAAATTCTCTTCACAACTTAACAGTCTTACAATGTAAAGACATGTGCAGTCACCGTGGTGTATCAATAGAGCTAGAAAACAGTGGTGTATTTTTCATAAGTGGACCGACCTGTCATAAAGGAAACATCTGTGCATTGTAGCGATTTAAAGAGGCCTCAGAAAAGAGCTGGATTAAAGTTTGTTTCCTTTCTTCATGACCACTACAGCCAATCACTGCTCTCTGCTTGACACCGCAGTTTTCAATGCCCCAAATGAGAACTGGCTGTGAATTTTCACCAAGTCTATGGGCGTGGTTAACACAGGTGTCCAAAACAGAATACAAATCCCCTTGGCAAGAACAATACCTATTAAAAAAAAACTCAATGACACAGTCAGAGTCATCCCCCAAATCACACTGCTACTGTTCCTAGGCATCTGATTCTGTTATCAAGCTAAAAGTAGACAAATGGTTTGGAAGAAAATTCCAAAAACGGTGGAAGGCCTCATATCCGAAGGGTTTGAAATAGCAGTTGGCTGCTAAAAGATGTCACATTTAAGTGGGGATTCATAAAAAATAAAATATACCTACTTAGAACATGTAACTCAAAATATACATGTGCAAATTGTACAAAGAACCTTACTTTGCACAGGAGTCTGCTGTTTGAAATTCTGCATATTTTGGGTTTCAAAACCTCCCTCATGAGACACAATCCATGGCTGGGTTCATTCAAGTGAGGACTAGAATATAATGATGCCCTTCACCCAAGTTTATTATATGACCCACCCTAAAGTCAATAGCAGTTTTGTTTAGCAGCTCAAAAAGTCTTTCTAGAATACTATACTTGGTTTCCCTTGCAACAATTTGGCCTAGATTATTATTTCGAAGACTTATGACATATTTAATGAAAGGATGATTACTTTAAGAAGTGGCACAGGAATAAACAGGTTAGGGAGCAAGCACCCACTGATTCCCAGTAAACACCAAGTCCACCCATGGGAGCAAAGGGCCGGTGCACTAAAGAGGACCCTTCCAGCCCTGGGAAGGATGTGCTGTGGGCACCAGCCAGCAAGTCTTAGGGAGAAAATGTGGGTTAAAGGGACTCAGATTACCCAAGCTGAAATCAGTTAAAAAGATCTATTTCTAAAGCATTCATTAAAAGAATTATTCCTTGACAAAGGGGTTCCTAGATAGCAAAACAAATGACAAGACATTAAAAATGAGTGTAGCATAAAGCTTTCTGGTATAATTACCAGTACGAGATCATTTTGCAGCTTGGGTTGCAAGAGGCTTCCTTGATGAGTTAGAATTGGACTCAGCTTGACAAGGATAGAGAAGCTCATGGCAGGTAAAAGAAACAGCACATATTACAAATTAACCACAATATATTCCTTCCTACTGTTTTGTTCTTAGCTCATAAAAGTTCACCTCCTTCACTCATTAGAGTTTATTTATTTTCTTGACTTTTGTATGCTTGCTTCTACATTTGTACAATTTTCATAATAGTCTGCAATGGCGATTTTCAACCTTTTTCATCTCATGGCTCACATAAACTAAAACTAAAATTCGGTGGCACGCCAAAAATATTTTATTTTTTGCCACTCTGACAAAAAAAAAAAGTTAGGTATAATTTTTTTAAAAATTCTCACCCAAGGACACACTTTTTATTAATTTTAGAGGGAGAAAGAGAGAAACATCAATGTGAGAGAGAAACACCAATCAGTGGCCTTCTATATGCACAACCAGGGATCGAACCCACAACCTGGGCAAGTGCCCTGACCAGGAATCAAACCCGAGACCCTTCAGTGCGTGAATGATGCTTCGATCAACTGAACCACACCGGCCCGGGCTAGGTATAATTTGGATTAATTCACACGGGATGGCTATTGTTGTGTTGGCTGTTGTCATTTTTTAAAATATGACAATCTAAGGAAGAAGAGGTCAGTGTCCCTGACTAAACAGTCAGGTCTTACATGTTTTAAACATTCTTGTGGCACATGGAGCGAACATGGCTGCTCTGGAACAATCTCGCCACACAAGTTAATTCCTCCATATGTCTATCAAAACCCATACATTCATGGTTGAGAATATCTAAAACCTTAATTTTACAAATACAAATAGTGACCCAATGTATAATCCAGAAACATCACAAAAGCACTGTGTTCTATCTTAAATATTCCCACCCATGGGTCTGTATCAAGATTTAAATTATTCACAGTTCTCTTCTCTTCTAGGGTTGCTTCTTCTTCTTCTTCAGGAGAAGCAAGAGTCTCGCCAGTAAAAGACTATAGACCCAGCATGTGCACTAAGGTCCGGTTTTCTTTCCCGCGGCCCCGCAAACAGAGGGTGGTCCTTTGTGATACAACCATAGTGCACTGAGTGCAATATGTTTCTCAGATATTATTTTGGCTGTAGTTTCTGCAGATGTTATTCATTACTTTCCTTATTTGCTGCGTAGTAACTAACTCTCACCGCCCAGTGAAAGTTCGACTGCAGCACTGGAAACTTTTTACCATTTTAGCTAGAAAATATATAGAGTGGCCCAAATTATATGAACCTCGTTTTGCACTCTTTTCATGAGATTAGCTAAATGAGCCACCTTTTTGAATGAAATATGGATAAAGATTATATGTACAGGAATATACAGAGACACATAATAAAGAATATTTTAAGGGACTTTGTATACGTAGACAAAGGGGATACAAACTGTATCTTACTGTATTGTGTTTTAGGTTAATAACCTTAAAATACCTTAGACAGAAAAAAATTATGCTGATAACACAATATTATCTCAAAAA